TTATTCGAATAAATCTCAATTTATTCGAATAAAAAACTGGGAAGAGACATTTTTGAAGAAAAGATTTGAGAAAGAGTTTTGAAAGCAATCAAAGAGAGATTTTTGTAGGAAAGACAAAGTATTTGAAGAATAAAGATGTGCCAAACACTTTAACATGAACTAAGACTCAAAAGAAATAAAAATCTAGAAAACCTTTAATCTTCAAATCTTGTCTTGAATCTCTAAGCAACGTGCTAGGCAATCCACATGAAAAGATCCAAATTCAAAGCTCATCCCATATGCATGGTTGTCATTATCAAAACACAAGGGTCAACAATTTCCCCTTTTTTGATAATGACAAACCCAAATTAACAAGTGCTTGGACTCAAATCACAAGGTTTCCTGTCTCTCAACAAATTAAACACACACAAGACACAAGCAAACATGCAACTAATTAATCATTAGAAAAAGTTCAAGAAAACAACTTCCCCCTGTTTGTGTGCACTTGACCAAGCACAAGCAATTCCCACACTTCCCCCTTTTGTCATTAGCAAAAAGAGAGGGTAAAATCACAGAAAATGTCAAAGTCATAATAAAAAACACAAGGGTTTAAGCAAAAGTTAGAGTCAATAGGGAGAAATAAGGCATAAGTAAAAATAGCTAAAGATAGAAAATGATTGCCCAATCCACTCATTCCTCATCCATGGTCGCATCGAGGTGGTCAGCATCCTCCTTCTCCGCATCATCATCATCCTCATCAACGTCATCACCTTCATCATCAAAAGGAGCGGCTTGAGAAGAAGAACCCTGAGACATGTAAGGTGCGAGCGCTTCCATGGATGGTGTTTCCCATTGTTCTCCACTCTTGACCAACATCTTGTTCAAGTTATAACCGTAAGTGGCCTGTTGGAGCTGGATGTTGTTGAAGGAGGTTTGGAGGCTTTGCAGGGACTTAAAAAGCATAGGCAATGTGACCTTGTTACTTCGTGAAGCTATACGAGAATGAGAAGGGCCTGCTTCCTCACGTTCCTCCTCAGTATCAATCTTGACTCTCATTACCGTCGCCCTCTTGATCCTCCAAAAAGCTGTCTCAGAGTCCGATTCGGTACTAAGAAATTCAAACCCCTTTGTCTTCAAAAGAAAGGTGAGAAGCATGGGATACGGTAAGGCTTTCTTCTTGGCTCTGCATAAATTCATGTAGCTCAAGATGTATTTCCCCCAATTCACTGACACCGGCTTCAAGATGGCGTAGATAAGCATTGCATCATCTCTACTCATTTGAGGATGATTCCCCGAGCGACCACGCAGAATGTAAGAAGCAATGTACTGAATCAATCGTTGGGGAGGTTGCATACCACTCACTTTGGGTCGTCCAGACTCATTGAAAGAGGGTTTAAAATTCATCACTTCCCAACATTTTTCCTCATCAAAATTATACCAAGGGTTTTGATCATTATTTTGGGTAGTGAGCTCCTTGTTACTATTCTCCATGCCAAACATCTCATTCAACTCACCACTAGAAATAGTAACCTCTTTACCACAAA